GTACATGTATGGCTCTCGTATGAAGTAGGATTATTGACTTCGCTCTAAAATTAACAAAATGGCGGACCTTTGATTTTTTTTTTTAATATCGCCTATTTTTGACCACAACTAAGTTAAAAATTATGGAAGATCTTCATCGATTAGATTTATCCTAGTTTATACAATAGCTATACACTCACAGAGAATCGTCCTAAAATTTGAAATCGATTGGGTTATTAGTTTTTGAGTTATCGTGCCCGCCATTTGCAAAAACGCTGTTTGGAGAAAAACGCGTTTAAAGTTTGAGAAGCCCTCACTTGATGCTAACACAATAAATCGGCTATATCTTCAAAAATTGTTGAGATTTTCACTTGAAAATTTATAGAGACATTTTTGAATTAGTGTAGGTTCAAATTAAATCAAATACCAAATTAAATTTTAAATTTTTTCCCCTTAAAAGAAATTAATTGAAATCAAATTCTTTTTTTTTCATTTTTGCGAAAAAACAAATAGACATTCAAAGGAAATATTTTGGAGTCGAAAATATATTACAAAACTAGTTTTGTTTTTAAAAAGGAACGACAAAGATTAGCCAAACTCTACTTTAATTTAGCATTTTTTAGGAGTAGTATTTATTTTTTCCGCCACTTTATACGGGAGATCTAATAAAATAAAGGTCTTGTCCCATTCAAAGTGACTGGTATTTGGCATTCCATGTAGTTGATGGATGAACGCCATTTTTGGGAAAAATTGCCAATATACATAGATTTAAATTTGGACATGAACCTAGAGAATTTTAACCTGTGTGTCTGTAAATTGGTATTAAATTTCCTTGCGGGATAAACAATGTCATATAACTGGCGTTTTCCTCATTCTGACGTATAGTTGTGCAACTCGGATTTTTTGTGCCCACGCTCTTTGAGAATGTGTTCTTTCATTCCATTTTTAAACAAGGTCATTGAGTAATCGTTTCTTTATTACCTCCAAAACATTTATCTGTATTAATATTTCACCCAAATACTGTATTACATATTTCATGGATAAGTATTAACAGGTAAACAACGAAAAAAGTAGGAAATGCGTCATATGGGACAGATAATGAAAAATTCAATATAATATTGAAAAATATTAATGCAACACAACATAAAAAACCAACAACAATAGCAATGACAGAAGAAGCACAGGACCTCTCAAAATAGACAAACATGCAACACCACAATGGCACATCGAAGTAATCGTCTGAGTAGTGAAAATAAATCGTATGGACAAAAAAAAAACAGAAAATCATTGAAAAGACAACAATCGGCTTAAAGCATTGGGTGGCAAATTGTTACCCCCTCTCCACCCAAGCGACCTACCAAAAGTATGAACTCAAAAAAACGAAAGAAAAACATGTGGTAGTCAGTCAGCCCGGAATGGTAGTGGCAGACATCAAGGACGACCCCAGGCAGTAGCAAAAAAACGGTTGATAATACATCAACATGCAACACATACTTACATATGAATGTGTATGTATGTATGTACATTTTACACACATAACATTCGTTAAAGGACATTGTCACATATGTATGTGTGTATGCTCATACTTTTGCAGTTATAAAACGAAAAGAAAAAAAAACAGAATAAAGACATGTGTTTGTTGTCGTTGTTGTTGTTTTGTATAGATTTTTGTTCTTCAATATTTCATAGTTTTTCTGCAATGTTGTTGTTTTTGTTGCTGCTGTTTTCTATAAGTCTATAAGTCCTTGCCACACAGGAGCGATGTGAGAGTGTGGGTAACCAACACACACAAAACTATTGTACTCTATAATTACACTATTGTTAGTGTTGTCACCCGCCTGCTGGCAAGATGTTTTTTTTCTTCCACTTGGAAGAAGGTGAGTAGGTTCGGTTAGTTTGACGGTGGAAGGTGTCCTTCCTCTTGAAAATAAAGAAATCTACTTGTTCGATGTGTTATGGCTTTCAAGAGATTTGTCATATGTGCGAGTGTTTATGTGGGGAATATGTGTGTTTTGTTGATATTGTAGTGTCTTAAAAATAAGTTTGTCTTCGACAATAGGTATTTTGCTTTATTTTTGAATTTTTGAGAGAAACGTAATAATAGCAATTTTCACACCAAATTTTTGTGATTACATTTTGTGAAAAAGTTATTAAAATATATTTTTTTATAAAACATTAAGTATTTGATTCTTGCAGTTCGGCCGGAAAACTTTAAATAAAATAGATAGATAAAATCTTGGTAGAAATATTTGAAGCGAATTTGAATAAAATTAGAGACATTTATTTAAAAAATGCGCCTACAATCGCAAAAATACCGAATAATGGAGGCATGTCCGTCCGTTGTCTGGCTTGCTGGTGCGCACGATAACTCTCGAAGGGAATAATCGATTTCACCCTAACTTTGCACATTTGAATAAATATTCATATTGAATATTGAATACCAAACTTAGTTTAAGTTCAATGATGGGGAATATCGGTACACTCCTTCTGGTACCTCCCAAACAAAATGGACAAAATTATGCTAAAAATAAATTTCATAGTAAAATTCAAACGGACTATTCGATTTTAACGAAACTTAAAGCCTAGATAAAGTATGGAGATGGGACCCATTGGTCCACTCTTTGTGGTACCTCCCCACAGAGGGTCAACATTTTTAATATTTTTAAATCCAATATCAGGCGAATGCAATATCCTATTTTAACGAAACTTTGTACAATCTATTATCTTACCAAGCCTAGATCAAATAGGAAGATGGGACCCAGTGGTCCACTCCTTCTGGTATCTTCATCACAATCAACATTGTCAATATTTATAAATGCAATATACGACGAATGAAATATCAGATTTCAACCAAACCTTGCATAACCTATTATCTTTGCCAACCCTAGATCAAGTCCGAAGATGGGAACCATTGGTCCAATCCTTCTGGTACCTTCCCCACAAATTATCAACATTTTCAATATTCCGATATCAGGCGAATGGAATGTCCGATATGAACCAAACTTTACAGAACCCATTATCTATATTAAGTCCAAAGATGGGACCCATTGGGTCCACTCCTTCTGTTACCTCCCCCACGAAAAAATTTTCAATATTTATAAATGCAATATCAGGCTAATGGAATGTCATATTTCAACCAAACCTTGCACAACCTCTTTACCAACACTATACCGATTCTGAAGATGGAACAAAGTAGTCCACTCCTTCCGGTACCCCCCTCACAAATGGTCAATATTTTATAAAATTTTATCAACGTTAAATCCGAAACCTCTATGATAAAATCATAATTCTTATATAAATTCAGTAGTGTTTGGCGGGTTATTTGGGATACCATTTGTATTTTGTTTTTGCAAAATAGTCAGGCTTAATCCCAGTTTGTTGTTTTTATAAAAAACAACTATTTATTAGTGAGGAATGTATGGCATTGTCCGCCGAGGGGTAAGGCAGGGAAGACTATAGTTTCGATCTCGTCACTGATCCTCATCAGTTCCCTTAGTTTTTTGTTGGGATATTCTCCCCAGAAGCTATTAATAGCTTCTTTACAAAAAACCTTTCAAACCCAAATGTCTCTTGTGACAATTCGAAGTTCTTACGTTACCAGCGATACGACCCCAATGAGAATTTCGTTTCGTTGGCGCCTGACTTCGTGGTCAACAAGGCATTTACAGACAACTACAATACATTTCCTACTGCTATGTGTCGTCACTTTGTGACGAATGCACATAACGTTGTTGTTGGTATTGCTACATACAATATATTAGACGTTCGATCGATCCGAGGAGCGAATATCAATTTGGACCACTACCTTGTAGCAGCCAAGGTTCGCACTCATCGTAATGTTGCAGGAAAGGTGCGATCTAACACAACACGGAAACTCGACGTCGAAAAGCTGCAAAACAACAACAGGTAGCCGAGGCCTACTTCGCTCAATTTACACAGCTGCTTGACGAAAGCACTTCTTGTCCCCATAATAGTATAGAAGCACAATGGCAAAGGATTACCCACTCCCTACAAACTACAGCAAGCAACACTTGGGTACCTAAAATTACAATCAAGAAACCCATGGTACGATCAGGAGTATCGTAATGTTACTGATGTGGAAAACGCAGTATACAGGACAACCCTGCAGACAGTAGCAACACGTAATGCGATGGAGAAACGTATTTTCAGAAAAAAGAAGAAAGAACAAGAAAAACGTCAACGTGTGCAAATCGAGATGTACAGGAGTCAGAATGAAGTCAGGAAATTTTACCAACGAGTAAAACACCAAACTGAAGGCTTTGGTACAGGCACATCCTCCTGTAGATATGAAGAAGAAAACCTGGTGATAGATACAGACAGCATGTTGATGATCTGGAAGGAGCGTTTTGAAAAGCTTCTGGTATCAAATAGTGGCGGTGGAGCAGATACCCCAAAACCATTAAGAGATGACGGTATAGAGTGTATACCACTTAGCCAAGATGAGGTCAGAATAGCAATCAATCGGCTGAAGAATAATAAAGCAGCAGGTGACGATGGGTTACCAGCATGTCTAACAATTGGAACCTCAGCATTCCTGTGTCCCGTGCACACAAAAAAGACAAGACGATATGTGCCAACTATAGAGGAATAAGTATCCTTCCCATCGCATATAAAGTGATATCCAGTGTGCTGTGTGAACGACTGAAGCCAATGGTCAATGACTTTATTGGACCATACCAATGCGACTTCAGACCTGGTAATTCCACCATTGACCAGATTTTCGCTCTGCGCCAAATCCTGGAAAAACCAACGAAAAACACATCGACACATTCCACCTATTCGTCGACTATAAAGCCGCATTCGACATCCCTATCCGCTCAGAGGTGTTTAAAGCCATGTCTACGTTCGGCATTCCTGCAAAATTAATTCGGCTATACAGAATAACTTAATCTGGCACAAGATCAGCAGTTAAAGTCGGAAAGGACCTTTCTGAGCCCTTTAATACCGAACGAGGATTCAGACAAGGTGACAGTTTGCCGCAAATCAAAAAATTTCAACAATTATCCATAACACGCTTTAATTACAAAAATTAAGAAAATTATCAAATCAAAAAAGGTAACTATTAAAGAAAACAATATCAGTAAACTTCTCATAAATCTCATCACATTAATAATTTTCGGTAGCCTAAATAAAAATACCATTTAATATTAATTAATCCTCCTCAACCTATTCGGTCACAATAAAACAGAAGTAACAACGACTATTTTCATTTACACTCGCTGCTAATTCCGGCTAATTCACTCAAATGTTAATTTGACAGCTATTGACAGTTGGTGAACAACAAAGAAACAACAACTGCAATATATGTTTTGATAGACAACTGACATCAGACATGACGGTAATGTATCAACCGTCTGTCAACGCATCGATTTCAACCTACCTTCAAATGGTAAGGTTGAATTCCCTCAATGATTTATATCCCTCTGTTGCCGGTTGTAATGGAAGAGGGGAGGCGTTGAAACAGCTTAATTAAATGACGCAGAAAATTACGGCTAACATAATATTGCGACGGTGCGTAGATTAATTGTGAGCGGGAGTGAGAGCGTGTACGCACTAGTCCTGGGGTAACTGGTAAAAGCACCCGTATACAATGTGTTGTTGTTGAGTATGTGTGTGGTAATTGTGCGTTCGGCAGGTTTGTATTATTATTTCTTTTAAACGTTTGTCCTTTGCGTAGGAGGAAATGCGTGTGGCTTTCTTAGCTGAACTTAGTCATAATCGCACTTGCATGCTAACGTGATGGAAATTGGACCCACTTTAGCTTATGGATATATTCGTTTTATGATTTTTTTTAATTATAATATAACAAGTTGCAATATTTGATAATTAAAAAAAAGTGAAGGGAAGATTAGAAGAAGGGGAGGGAGTCTCTATGGACGAGCTGAAGGGAGTCTTTATAGACGAGCTTAGGGGAGTCTTTATAGACGAGCGTCGGGGGAGAGTCTCTATAGACGAGCTGAAGGGAGTCTGAGCTGAGGGGAGTCTTTATAGACGAGCTGAAGGGAGTCTCTATAGACGAGCTGAAGGCAGTCTCTATAGACGAGCTGAAGGCAGTCTCTATAGACGAGCTGAAGGCAGTCTCTATAGACGAGCTGAAGGGAGTCTCTATAGACGAGCTGAAGGGAGTCTCTATAGACGAGCTGAAGGGAGTCTCTATAGACGAGCTGAAGGGAGTCTCTATAGACGAGCTGAAGGGAGTCTCTATAGACGAGCTGAAGGGAGTCTCTATAGACGAGCTGAAGGGAGTCTCTATAGACGAGCTGAAGGGAGTCTCTATAGACGAGCTGAAGGGAGTCTCTATAGACGAGCTGAAGGGAGTCTCTATAGACGAGCTGAAGGGAGTCTCTATAGACGAGCTGAAGGGAGTCTCTATAGACGAGCTGAAGGGAGTCTCTATAGACGAGCTGAAGGGAGTCTCTATAGACGAGCTGAAGGGAGTCTATAGACGAGCTGAAGGGAGTCTCTATAGACGAGCTGAAGGGAGTCTCTATAGACGAGCTGAAGGGAGTCTCTATAGGCGAGCTGAAGGGAGTCTCTATAGACGAGCTGAAGGGAGTCTTTATAGACGACCTTTTTAAACAAGGTGAAGGTTTTTGCAGAGGAGCTAAAGGAAGTCTTTATAGACTGACTCTATAGACGAGCTGAAAGGAGTCTTTATGTAGTAGAGCTGAAGGGAGTCGTTAAACACGAGCTGGCGGGAGTCTTTATAGGCGAACTGAAAGTACTCTTTAAAGACTACCTGGATGAAGTCTTTATAGAAGACCTGCTGAAGGAGTCTTTGTAGACGGACAAGATAGAGATTTTTTTTATAAACGAACTGAAGCTAATCTTTCATAAACGGCTTCTTTATTACGAGCTAAGAGGATTCTTTATAGTCAAGGCAGTAAACCATAAATATTTTTTATGGGCTCCCAATAAGGCGTGGATTTATTAAAGAATTTTTTTCAAGGCTCCCCATAAGGCGTGGATTTATTAAAAATTTTTGTAAGGCTCCCAATAAGGCGTGGATTTATTAAAGAATTTTTTTCAAGGGCCAACTGAGGCGTGGATTTATTAAAGAATATTTTTCAAGGGCCAACTGAGGAGTGGATTTATTATTTATTAAAGATTTATTAAAGAATTTTTTTCAAGGGCCAACTGAGGCGTGGATTTATTAAAGAATTTTTTCAAGGGCCAACTGAGGCGTGGATTTATTAAAGAATATTTTTCAAGGGCCAACTAAGGCGTGGATTTATTAAAGAATATTTTTCAAGGGCCAACTGAGGCGTGGATTTATTAAAGAATTTTTTTCAAGGGCCAACTGAGGCGTGGATTTATTAAAGAATTTTTTTCAAGGGCCAACTGAGGCGTGGATTTATTAAAGAATTTTTTCAAGGGCCAACTGAGGCGTGGATTTATTAAAGAATTTTTTCAAGGGCCAACTGAGGCGTGGATTTATTAAAGAATTTTTTCAAGGCTCCCAATAAGGCGTGGATTTATTAAAGATTTCTTAAATCTGCCGTCGACGACAAAACACGACAGAACACCACCATCTAAGCTATCGACAATCGATACTTCCACCTTGGTGGGTACATCGGGATTATGTTGTTCAATAGGCAATGCCAAATGATAGGTAACATCTTCATCTTTATACAGAGGACAATAGGCACCATATAGTAGATTTTTACAAACATCACTACGTTCCGCATCCATTTCAAAGGGGATTTGTATACCCAATGTAGTGAATTTCACCATCGCCTTCAGATTCAGCATATTATTACGGGTGGCAACAAATTGTATAATCATTTGTGATTCGGAACCTTTGACAAAATCGCAAGGCATATCCGAACAGCTATCCACTTCAACTGATAAGGGTAGAGGGGCATTGTTGGCACCTGGAAATTGAAAGAGAGAAGAATAACATAAATAATAAAAATTCCGAAGTAATAAAAAGTTATTTTTTTTAAATTATATTTTTAGATATAAAACCTACATTGACGAACGGGAGTTTCTGCTGCAATTCCTTGCACTGTAATCACCAAAATGATGACATGGGCAAATTGTGAAATTTTAGTTAAACCGTGCATTTTTTTAAAAAAATTGAATTTTTAATTGAAATAATTTTGTGTACTCTTTTTAAAAGCTTTCACTTGTTGCTTTCAAGGCTGATGTGTTGGTTTTGAGTTCCCACTGAAAACCGCTAGACAATTTATATTAAAATTCGATTGACTGAAGTACTTCTGCACCGACGACTTCTACCGCCAAATAATAATCTAATCGGACAGTTTAATTCAAAATAATGACCAATCAATGTGTTTTTGCAAATTTATTTTGCGTCGGAAAACTAGGAGTTCGGTACTTTTATTTTAACACCTACTATTAGGTTATCAAGGTGCAAATTCTTCGTTATCAAAGCCTCTTAGCGGTTACAAATAAACGAACTTAAGTACATTTGTACCGGTAATGGTTGTTGTTTGTATTTTTAAAATGGGGGCAAATATTAGTGGTATTTTTAGAACCTACATTAACAATAAACGTGTACTGAAGTTGTGGGAATTATAACGGAACAGTTTTATAGGTGACGCAATTAACTCGGAAGACAGTATGGTGTCCACTAATATCAGTTCGAATAAATATATGGTCTCTATAAATTCGAAAATGTGAGTCTTTATAGAAGAGCTAAATGGTGTCTCTATAGACGAGATAAAGGAGACTCTACGGAGTAACTGACGGGAATCTTTATAGACGGTCTTTATAAACGACCTGAAATGAGTCTTTATAGACCAGCTGAAGAAGTCTCTTAGACGAGCTGAATGGAAGTAATTTACAAGCTGAAGAGAGTCTTTGTAGACTAGCTTAAGGGAGTCTTTATATACGAACTTAAGGAAGTCTTTATAGACAAGCTGAGGGGAATCTTTGTAGACCATGACAAAATATTTTTAAACCTGTGAGCGGAGCAGTATAGTTGGACGAAAATCTAACTTTGTGTGGTTCTATATTCTGAGTTTGGTCAACAAATATTACCGATATTCAGTACAGCCCTTCTGATTACTTGTCCAGATTCCCTTTACCGTTGGTTTTGTTTTGATGTTCGGCTTTAAATTGCGGCCTATAGATCGGCTCGAAAAAAACACGAAAAAATTAAGTTCTCGGTCCACTGCAACCCAAAATTATTATATGTTCATCGCCGAAAATTATCGGCGTTGTCCTTGACCATACCTGGATCCTCATGGGCAAATTCAAAGCGATCAGCGCTATATTTTCGCCCTTCAAGTGTGTTAATGGGTTACTTAATAATATATGAATACGTAAGCACCTGTAAATATTTAAGTGTAACACCCGCATCCGAGTACATACGACAATATAATTGGTAAAAATTTAAAGGTCAACTACTCCTGTTGGATATACTATCAACTTCTCGGGTCCATATCCTCCAGAGGTAAATATATACTCTACAGAATAAAAATGTTGTAATTTTTCACACAAAAATCAGGGTCCATTTGACCCCCTAAATATTGACTAATCTTTATCAAAACAGGCATGCTTATTCTTTGGCCTAATCCCCTTCTTCATGGAAAACATCGCGATGTTCGGGATATAATTGTGGCCTCTGGAGCGACCAGAAAACCAGACAAAACTAAAGTTTTTGGTCCATTTCATCTCCTAAATATTAACCGATCCTTAGCATATAGAGGTCTTCATTGGGCAGAAGTGATCATACATGCAAAATTTCGTGAAGTTTGGTCCATAACTGTGGCCTGTATCGTGTTTACAAATTATAATAGACAGACGGACGGACGGACACACATGTCTAGATCGACTCAACTAGTCGAGATATAACTATCGGTATACTTAAAGGTGGGTCTAGGACCAATATTTCGTGGTGTTACAAACTCTTGGGGCTGCACAAAGCTATAATACCCTGACAACATAGTTGTGTAGGGTATAAAAATCCACTCCTATTGTTGAAAATGAAAAAAAACAAATATTTTTAAAAAATCCACGCCTATTGTAGAACATGAAAAAATATTTATAAAAATCCACGCCTCAGATCGTCTACAAAGACACCCTCAGGTCGTCTATAGGGACTCCCTTCAGCTCGTCTATTGAGACTCCCTTCAGCTCGTCTATAGAGACTCCCTTCAGCTCGTCTATAGAGACTCCCTTCAGCTCGTCTATAGAGACTCCCTTCAGCTCGTCTATAGAGACTCCCTTCAGCTCGTCTATAGAGACTCCCTTCAGCTCGTCTATAGAGACTCCCTTCAGCTCGTCTATAGAGACTCCCTTCAGCTCGTCCATAGAGACTCCCTTCAGCTCGTCTATAAAGACTCCCTTCAGCTCGTCTATAAAGACTCCCTTCAGCTCGTCTATAAAGACACTCTTCAGCTCGTCTATGAAGACTCACTTCAGCTCGTCTATGAAAACTCACTTCAGCTCGTCTATGAAGACTCACTTCAGCTCGTCTATGAAGACTCACTTCAGCTCGTCTATGAAGACTCACTTCAGCTCGTCTATGAAGACTCACTTCAGCTCGTCTATGAAGACTCACTTCAGCTCGTCTATGAAGACTCACTTCAGCTCGTCTATGAAGTCTCACTTCAGCTCGTCTATGAAGACTCACTTCAGCTCGTCTATGAAGACTCACTTCAGCTCGTCTATGAAGACTCACTTCAGCTCGTCTATGAAGACTCACTTCAGCTCGTCTATGAAGACTCCCTTCAGCTCGTCTATGAAGACTCCCTTCAGCTCGTCTATGAAGACTCCCTTCAGCTCGTCTATGAAGACTCCCTTCAGCTCGTCTATGAAGACTCCCTTCAGCTCGTCTATGAAGACTCCCTTCAGCTCGTCTATGAAGACTCACTTCAGCTCGTCTATAAAGACTCCCCTCAACTCGTTTATAAAGACTCCCCTCAGCTCATCTTCAAAAGACTCCCTTCAGGTCGTCTATAAAGACTCCCTTCAGCTCGTCTATAAAGACCCCCTTCAGCTCGTCTATAAAGACCCATTCAGCTCGTCTGTAAAGATGTCCTTCAGCTCGTCTATAAAGCCACCCTTCGGCTCGTCTATAATGACTCACTCATCTCTTCTAAAAATTCTCCCTTCCGCTCCTAAGATTTATTTATCAATTTCTCAAAATGCGTTTAATTTTAGAGGAAATAAATATTCAATTCTATTTTTTTTTTTTTTTTTTTTGTTCATAAATTTGTCACAATTCGACGACGCCATTATCATCATTAGCATGTGTTTATGATGACTTCTGTTTTTGATTAGACGGTCAGTGCCAGGTGTTTCGGCATTTTCTTTTACCGAGTGCAACAAAACTCGGCCGAGTAGGGGAGACTGGGGCACCTTCGGCACTTTTTTTTTAGAGCTCTATATCTCAGTACTTATTCAACATATATAAAAACTTTATGGCTGATTATTGTCCTCTGACTCTTAATTATAAAAAATAGTACCAAAAAGATATAAAAAAATAGTATTAGTTAAAAAATTTTACAGTTTTGTAAAAAAAGTCAAATTTGCCGAATGTGCCCCAACCCGGGGTAGCTTCGGCATTTGATGGGGCACATTCGGCACCATAGTCATAGCCGGGTAATTGTCATCGCTATCAGACTGGTTGAAATTCTGATCCTCTAAAGGCTCTATTTGGTTTTAATAAGCCACACAATGTTTGAATTATATGGCTTTATTTTCTAGCGGCGGACGTTTACATCTCAAGGTCGCACACACCATCAGAAATAGGGGTTTTCTATCGCATTTTCGTCAATACAAGCACGTTTGATCTTAAATATGCAATTTCGAGCCATATTAAAGGATTAGTTTTAAAGACAAACTCAAAAACATTTTAAGGAAATAATATTGCACAATCTGTATATGGCCGAATGTGCCCCATTGTAAAATGCCGAATGTACCCCGAATCTACTTTTTATAGTTTTTTTCATTTTTTTCGATCAGATTTCTTAAACATTATATTTTTAAACATTTTTGTAATAATACACATCGTAGTTAACCACTTTTTAATAATATTGTCTTAAAAATTTTAAAAGTTTTATACACGAAATACTTACGAATTGGGATTGAAATATTACAGAAACACCTATAAAAATACAAAAACCTGTGTATCTAAATAAGCTTATTAGCTAGAAATTTCAAACTTTGTGTCAGTTATTTATTTCGATATTCGATACCTATGTATCGAAACTAGTGATGTACGGTGAGAGCTTCATATCGAAAACGCGATTGCCGAAGGTGCCCCGATGCCGAAGGTGCCCCAGTCTCCCCTACTTGTGAACTTATCGACTAACCGAACTTCTAAAAGACCAGTACACAAAATAAATTCTTATCATTTCAATCAAATTTTAATCGTTTAATATTCGTTATTGAATTGTTATTTATTGGACAAATGAGACGTTAGTAGGTTCTTGGTATAAGTACACCCACATACATTTAATTAGGAACCGCTGATAATTTTTTTGTTTCGGTGAATTGATATTATAAACAAATGGTTCCTGCACTCAAAAAGAAATATATCAATTTCATGGAAAAATAATAAATATACTTCTAGTGCATCAGATCATTAGATCTGTCTGGGTATACGATATTTGTTGCCTGTTTACTCAAGGTCCAATAAAAGAGAGCGCAATCAGAGAGCATGTTATATAGTTCCATGTTGACAACCTACCGGATAGTACTGATTAATTATTTTCCAGTTACTAATGACCAGGAAAATATCGGTTCGTACTAGTTATATCTTACTAGAGAAGTATTGTCCCGAACTAAATTGAGAGTGAGTGTGAGAGAGCGTAACTGAGATCTCATAATCAAAAACGACTTTAATCATCAACGTTATCGCACTATTTTGTGCATTAGTATACTAGAGGAATTTTAAACGGTAACATACAGTGATGTCTGCCAAACTTGCTATCCTACTTCGTTCCTTTCTATCGGACATGAGTGTAAAACAGTGTGTACTTTTGTTAATCTCACATGTACGATCTCTTTTTTTCAATTTTTAATAGAAATTTAGGTTTTATTTAAAACAGAGGGGAGAAACGAAATAAAAATATTGAATAACTACTGCTGCTGG